CCAAAGTTTCCTCACTAGAATCTGCTAAAAGAATATCATCCATATAATGGAAATTTTTTACAAATTATTTCCAAAGGTTGTTGTACACATTGTTGACACAAGGTGGGGCTATTTAGCATCCCCTGACATAAAACCTTCCATTGGTATCACTGGTATCTCTGAACTGGATGTGAGTTATTAAGAGTTGGTACACAAAATGCAAATTTCTCTCTATCACTTTCTTGTAATGGTATAGTAAAAAAGCAGTATTTCAGGTCAATTACTATGATCGGCCATCCTTTAGGTTTTAAGGAAGGCAATGGCATTCCAGGCTGTAGAGTGCCCATAGGCTGAATTACCTTATTTATGGCTCTCAGGTCTGTCAGCATTCTCCAGTTACCTGACATCTTCTTGATGACAAATACAGGAGAATTCCAAGGGCTGGTAGATTGCTCTATGTGACCAGCCCTCTAGCTGTTCCTGTACTAACTTTTCTAGAGCCTCAAGCTTTTCAGAGGTCAAAGGCCATTTCCCTATCCAGACTGGTTAATCTGTAAGCCATTTCAATGCCAGGGCCTTTGGTTCCTCTGAAGGCCTGCCATTTGTATTTAGTGTCTGTACAGCCTGGATAGTTGGTAACCATTTTCCATGGCATCTTACCTGATCCTTTCTACTATCCAGCGATTGTCTAGAATTCGTATCTGACACTGGAGGGATGTTAATTTGAGTATTCCATTGCTGTAATAAATCACGACCCCATAAATTTATAGTAATAGCTGCTACGTAAGGTTTCAGTATTCCTTTTTGTCCTTCCGGTACAATACAGACCACCGAGTTAACACTCCGTCGAACTCTAGATAGAGTTCCAATTCCTAAAAATTGTACATTTGCTTCTTTAAGCGGCCATTTTTTAGGCCAACTTTTCTGAGTGATAATAGTGACGTCAGCTCCAGTGTCCACTAAGCCAGAAATAACTTTATTATTAATTTTAACTATCAACTGAGGCCTTTTATCATTAATAGCAGCTTGCCAAAATATGAGTTTCTCATTTTCACCAGTCACATGTGATTCTTCATCACTATTCAAACTACCCTCTAGAGCAGTGTCATTTTCCACCATAGGCAAGGAACTATCTTTCGTCCTGCGAGAGATTGTCTTCCACTGTTACTGGGAATGATTGAACTGTCCTCGGGGCAGGGGCCTGCTGGAGTCCCCCTTCCGAGTTTCCCAGTGCCAATAAGTTCCCCTGCAAATCCCTAGTTGATCTGCATTCGTTAGTCCAGTGTTTGCCCTTACCACATCTCCTACATAACCCAGAGGGCAATGACCTGTCACGTGGGGAATCGTTAGAAATTCTCTGTCTACAATTTCTCCTTATATGTCCTATTTTACCACAGCTGAAACATCTATTCTCCTGACGCCTCCGTGGACTCCTGGAGCGTGCTCTTCCTATGCAAGGCTCTGGGTCATGGTGGCAATGAGCACTGGCCTCTCGATACCTGTGTGAGCCCCTGTAAGGTGCTCTTCCTTCCCAAGTCCTTCTGTTGCTATCTTTTCTAATCTCCTGTTGTCTGTTGAAACCTCTTGGGACAGCTTCTTCTGCCCAGATTCCAGCATCTTGTATGTTACAGTCAACATGGGCAGTATGCAGAACCCATTCTTCTAGTGGAGCTGAGCTGATCTTTAGAGGCAAAAGTATTCTTTTGCACATTGGGTTTGCACTGTCATAAGCTAAGCTATACACAATTGAATGTCGTATCGTTGGATCTGCTACCTGTTTGTCTACTGCTCTGGTCAATCTGTCTAAGAAGTCTTTAAATGGTTCTGTTTGTCCCTGTTCTATTTTCGCAAAAGCTTCTAGTTGTTCTCCTGATTCACGAACCTTGTCCCATGCATTTAGTGCTGCTGTCCTGCATAGGGACAGCATATGGTCGTCATATTCAGCCTGAATCTGTGGGTCAGCATAAATACCTTCTCCTAGGATTTTTTGGAGGGGTGCATCAACTCTGTCCCTGGCGGCTTGCCGTTCTAGGAGTCTGCCTTCCTCCCTTATATGCAGTGAATGCATATAAGCATAAGATATGCTATACATGTCTAACTGCAAAGGAAATGCAGCCATATTTATTGGTAATTCCATTTCCGGGTGCAATAACCATGTCTGGCCAGCAGGCGGCGCAGCTGCATCTATCTAGAGTAGGATCGGACTCACAGAAAATTGCTTTTTCCGCCAAGGAAATCTTTAGAATGTACCTGGCGGGTATTTGCGTCAGGCAGGTGGCTGTGCCCACAGCTAGAGTTGAAAAGCTTACCCTGCCAGGGTCTGGCCCAGCAGACGGTGGCCGCAGGTGTAGACAGGCAGGCGGGAACAGGGGAATGGTGGCAGGGTGCTTTCCCTGTGGATGAAAGCTGAAAACCCTCTGCGCGCAGGCAGCTCCTGCATTCAGGCCCTAAGCGCACACACGTAGCTAAAGTGAGTGCACAGGAGAACTCTCCAGGCGGCCAGGGAGCCAGGCAAGGCCGGGCCGGGTCTCCTGCGGGTGGGCAGGCGGGACTCACACCGGCGGTGTGGAAATACCGCAGCGGGAGTCAGAGGTCCGGGCAGGACCGGGCATGGGGTGCGAGCGTGGCGCCAGGGGCAGGCTGGGGAGCGAGGCCGGGGAGGAGGGGGGGATGCACCGTGGCGGCAGCGCGGGGTGGAGAGGTGCCGGTGGCCCCGCGGTGGGAACTCCCTGTGGAGATGCTTCGGCGGGGTGCTCCCTGCCGCTCCTGGGCACCCAGTGGGCTCTTCCCGGGTCACAGGGTTGCTGGGCGCCAACTGATGATTAAAGTCTCTTTATTCAAGAAAATACCAGGGGCAAAACGCAGGCCAGAGAGAGGTTACAGGAACCCAGCAAGCGCGGCCAAAAAAGGGGTTCAGGTCTCCACGAGCCGTCTTAAGAAGCTTCCCTTACATCACCTTCGCTTTCCTATAGTCCCGGGTCCACCTGGTACCTGTCCCAGGGCGGGGCTAGGGTGTCTCCCTACAGAGAAACCCTGTCTTGAACCCCCCCCCAAAAAAAAGAAAATCCAATGGTGAACTGGCAACATGAGACTTGTGCCCATAGAAGACAAGGAGGCTACAGGCAGAAACCTGAGAGCTAATAACACAAAGCAGGCACCAAAAAGGGCACACACATCCTATGAGGCCTATTTTACAATGACTAGTTGGATTTTATTTATTAAAACGTAGTCATGTATTACATAACACTATTTTAACCAAGGAATTAACAGAGGTGTAAGTTTGCCAACCAGAATGCAGTTCCTTAGCATTGCATTGCATAGTGGCTGTTCCAATTAGTCTGAGCACATTCTGAGCAATTTTCATATTACTTAACCCATCTAATCCATGGGGTTTTCAGCCTTTTGACTACTAAACTCCATTTCCCCTAGCAGGAATCCTCTCAAGGCCCTTCCCCAAGAGCAGGATGCAAGTCCAGCATAGATACTACAGGGCTCCCCAAACCAATGTGCCTCCAAAAACAAGGTCACATTTCAGTCCTGCAACAACCATGATGGGGTTACAGAATGCAAGAAGCATGGGCAAATGGGTGCACTTCCCCATTAGAAAGTGACCAAACTAGAAGCCATGTGACCCTGTACCCAGATGGATATGAAAGGAGACTTCTGTCATTAAGATCCCAGGAAGAAAGAAAAAATCCCAGAAAGAGCAAGGGACAAGTAGCCCCAGGAAGAGAACTGAGTCATGATGGGGTTGTTTGCAGGGAGGACACTATGTCTAAGGCTGATAAGAAAACAGGGCAGTGAGGTGTGGAATATGAGAGGGTTCTGGATCCTGGTATGGACTCAAATAGGTCCCAAGGTAGAGATGCACAGTGGGCATGGATGTTCTGGGTCCCATGGGGTTCATGCACTGTCATGGGACTAATGTGGGAATTACCAATACGGAGTCAGGAAGAAATATAAGGGTATTTATTAGGGAGAAGCCTTACTTACAGAGCGACCTAGCCAGCCGGCAGGGCAGGAGTAAGTACAGCAAGCCCAGAATGAAAAGGAAAAGGCAGTTCCTCATGTGCGCCCCTTAAACCTTCCCTACTTCACCCTGACCATGCCCTTGCAGGCTTGGTCAGGCATACCTGTAGCCAGCTCCTAGCAGGCGTGGTTATGGTATTCCCTACATGGGATTGCCATGGATATCTCAGATGTTGTCAGCAGTATGACAAGGGTCTGAGCAAGAACAACTGCAGTTTTCAGCAAAGAGTGGCATTGGGCTTACAGGGCATGACCAGCAGGCAGCTGAAGCAGCAGAGCAGTTCAATGTGAGGAACTCAGATGCCATTAGAACCTAGGGGCAGCAGCTGCCTCCTAGGGAGATAAGGGGATGTGGTTTGGATCAGCTGTTACCTAAGCAACGGTCCCAAAGAAGACTCACCTGCCTACCAACCCCACATCACCCCATCCTCATCCTTTACCTATTGAGCTGAAGAGAGGTTTGTCTCCACAACAGTGCCAGATAGCTGAGAAACAGAAACAAAGGGTTTACAAACACCTGGAGAGAACCGGTAAGGGAGGAGCAGAGAGAGCCAGAGAACCAGATGCCGACACAATGGAACCGTGTAAGATTAATGTCTCTTTATTCCAGAAGACACCAAGGTAAAACACAGGCCAGAGCTAGGTTATAGAACCCAGCCAGCGCGGCCAGAACAAAAGGGCCCCGGGTCCCCACGTGCAGCCCCTTAAGAAGCTCCCTTACTGTCACCCCGGCTTTCCTTCACCATGCCCTTCTGGGCGAGTCCCCGGATCCACCTGGTACCTGCCCCAGGGCTATTGGGCGGGGCTAGGGTGACTCCCTACAGAACCGAGCATGCACAGGCCATATCAGGCTCAGACAGGACATAAGGACAGTATCTCCTGTGGAGAGACGCAGCCTAGCTACCCTCTCCACTTTCCACTCTGCCTGCCTACAAGAGCACCTGTCTAGGCACAAAGATGGGCTTGCTGTTTCCAGGAACCAGAACTGTGGAAGGGAGAGGGCTGGGATCCCTCCCCTCCTTCTTTATCCAAATCTACCACCAACCAGGCCATCCTCCTCTGAAACTCTGTTCTCCTGTGAGGCCACTATATTAAGAAGAGAATTCAAAGTACCGAACTAAAGAGCAGGGAGTGGCAAACAGAGACAAAGAAGTGAGAGAGGTTGAGGGGATGGGAAGAAGGCAGGCTGGGCCCTACAGGGTCATGGGAGGCTCTTCAGAGGAAGCTGGGTCAACCTTGAGGTGTTGCAGAAGGAAAAGACTGGCTTACTTGAAAAGGCACAAAGGACAGGAGGAAGGGGAGAGTCCAGGAGCCCAGGATAGAAGATGCACAGACAGGTATCCCAGCAACTGGTCCCTGGAACCCCAGCTGCTAAATCTCAAGAGATTCCTCTCTCAGTCTGTCTGTAGCTTCCTTTGAGGCACACAGATGGGTGGTATATTGCTCCAAACAGAGGTCTAAGCTTTCTCTCAGCCTCCAGGGTCACCGTCTTGGAGAGGTTAAAGTTAAGGTTAAGGACGGCCTACTAAGGGGCAGGAATATAGGCACAGGCCTGTTTAGGAGGCCAGGTCTTGTCATTACTGTGAACAACGCTCTAGAAGAAATAAAAATCCTTGTCTCACCCACCTGTCAATCCCAAATGCCCTGTATTCACTTTGAAGGCAGGGGTGGGGTAACAAGGACGAGTGAGAGTGGGTGATGGTGATGGTGCTGCTGCTGCTGCTGCTGGGGAAACCAAAAGAACTACAAGAGAACAGCAGCCCATGGCTTTGAGGATGGAGCCTTCATCTCTGCTAGCTTAGCATTCTTTTTTTAAATTTTTATTTAAATTGAAAACAATCCCAGTTCCTTCTTCCTCCCATCCTCATGCTCCCCACTAGTCCCCCATCCCAACCGCCATCCACTCCCCCGAGAGGAGGCCTCCCATGGGGGATCATCAAAGTCTGACACACAGTCCATGTATCTAGGCTGAGAGGATCACTCCATAGGGAATGGGCTCCCAAAGCCCATTTGTGCACTAGGGATAAATAATGGTTCCACTGCCTGAGGTAGCCAAGAGGAGTCAGGCATAGAAGCAGACCAAGTTGCCCAGAAAGGTCTTTTTCTACTCAGTGCCCAGTGTCCACATGTGGAAAGGTAGGGTGAAACTGGCAGAGAAATTAGCCTTGCTACCTCAGATACCTAGGAAAATGTTCCCAGTAGCAACCCCTTCAATATCCAGCTGTGAACCAGTACTTAAAATGAGAATGACAGCCATTCTGAAGGGCAAATGTCCAAAGTCTATTTATCCTTAAACACAACTTAAGCTTGAATCAATGAATCAGCTGATGCCTAGTGATGCCCAACCCACAGAAGATGTCTGCTCATATCAGTTCATGCTATTGGCTAGCCAGGTCATGGCCTCCTCTGGAGCCATCCCTATTCCTCCCTCAGGAATTCTATTTCTCAGAAAATATGCTGGGTCTTCAGCTTTCACTCTAATTAGTGCAGCTTGAACCTATTGGGATTCCTAGAGCCCTGTCCCTTTCCTCTATTCACACTGCATGGTCAGGTACACTAAGGCCAATGGAGAGCACCTCAGGCTGTTGCTAGTAACACAAGTGTCCTGTCAAGCATCCTCTGGCTTCACTCTGAAGATAATCAATATCCTGTTAATCACGGTGTGCACACTGAGTTTAAGTCACTGCATAAGTGTAATCATGCCTGCCATTGGATTCCTTCAAATCCTTGACTTCCACTAAAATTGAGGCTGTACCTTCATTCACCATGCCCTCACTGCAGGGCCTCCAATCCTGGCACACAGTGCTAAGAGTAGCTTCTCTCCATGACTCCTTCAATTCTGGGGTCTCCACTGTTACTGAGGCTGCATGTTCACTAATGGTCTCTCTTGGCCTCTCAAAGTACTGCTATGCATGACCTGCTCAATCCTACAGCTCCTACACATCACCAAGTTTGGCTGCCAGCTTGAGCTACAGCATTCAGCCTCTCTAGACAATAGTTCCAGAAGGAAATACTTCCAGAAGATTTCAGCTCAGTGATGCTGGCCTCTTGTTAATCACATTGGGTTTGTCATCCCCAGGTAACCAACAACAAACATCCCCAAAAAGCAGAGGTGGCAATCCAGTGGTGTTGGGCTCTTGCTAATCATAACTGATACTCCATCCCCCAGAAGATCAGAAACCCACATGTGGAACAGGAGAATGCCCCCCAGTGAAGGTCAGGTCAAGTTGTTCATATGCCGGCAGTGGAGAGCAGGCTGGTGCCTGAAATGACGCTCCATCCAGGAGTTAAGGTTTAGAAAATCACAGCTGTGGCGAAGCAGGGGTGGGCAAAGGGGACAGGAGTCTCAAAATTTTCCATTACCAAAGATTTTAAAAGCTCTACTGAGCTAAAACAATCTGTTATATGTCGTTAAAAACAATGGATCTCTCAAAACTGCAAGTAGGCTGCATGAGAATGTTCTGCTCAGCAAGATGTGGTTAGCAGCGGAGCTGTGTTGGTGGCACAAGCCTTTAATCCCAGCACTGGAGAGGCAGAGGCAGGTGGATCTGAGTGAGTTCGAGGCCAGTTTAGTCTACAGAGTGAGTTCCAGGACAGGCTCCAAAGTTATACAGAGAAACCCTGCCTTGAAAAACCAAAAAAAAAAAAAAAAAAAAAAAAGATGTGGTTAGCAGGGCTGGGGGCTGGAGGAGGGGGAGAGAGGAACTGACACAGACGCCAGGGAGGAATGCTGCTTGCTATATTTCTCTTTGATGAATTACTCAGCTTGAATTTTTATGCAACTTACAACTACCTGCCCAGTGGTGACACTGCCTACAATGGCTTGGGCCATTTCACATCAATCATTAGTCAAGATAAAGCCCCACAGACTTACCTACAGGCCAATATGATGGAGGCCTCTTCTCCATTTCAGATCCCTCATTTCAGATGACTCTAGCTTCTTTAAAGTTGGCAAAAAACCCCAAACAACAATAACAAAACAAAAGCAAAAAGCAGAACAAAACCCCCACTCTAACAGCACAAGAATAAATGGTCTTTCTATATGCTGCCTATGAAATCTTTATATAGACAGAGTCATGTATATATGCAACTGAGCATAGCTTGCCATCTGCTGGCAAGATGTCAGAGTAATTTTAAAGGAGTTCTCATATTTTCAAAGTTCTGAACTACCTTCCAGGCAATTACAGTATGCCACATAGTTGGATCATGAACACATCCGGGCTGTTTGAAACAGAGGACAGTGTTGCCCAGTTTGATGGAGTATGTAAAAGAAGTGGTGAAGGAGAGATTTTTTTACTATACTTGTTTCTTAACACAATCCATAGAGAGCGAATTGTTGCTTTCCATTTCTTAAATGAACTCAGTGATCTGAAAGAGTGGTTCAGCAAGTTAAGATCCTTTGCTGCTAATTGCAGAAGAAATGAGCTCTGTTCCTGACACTTGTGTTGAGAGACTCACAGTAACCTGTCACACTAGTTCTATAGAATCTGACACTCTCTGGGAACTCATCTGGGCCTCCCTGGGAACCAATGTACATTTACACACATATTAAAATATCTTCTATTTATTTATATTTATCTTTTTCCAGGAAAGGTTTCTGTACAGCTCTGGTTGTCCTAGAACTTGTTCTGTAGGTCTTGAACTCAGAGACCTGCCTGCCTCTGCCTCCTGAGTGCTCAGATTAAAGGCATGCATTACCATACCCGGCTAAAACACATAATTTAAAGTACACATAGGGCTCTTTATCCATTTGAAGTTGATTTTTGTGCAGGACGATAGATATGGGTTTAATTGCATCCTTCTACGTGTGGACATCCAGTTTTCCACCACCATTTGTTGAAGATGTACTCTTTTGTCCAGTCTGGATTTTTGGCATCTTCATCAAATATCATAAAGCTGTAGTGATGTACACTCACTCAGGTGATATTGATCTACATGTTTGCAGTTCATTTAACTTCATCATCTTGCTTAGCTAGAAATTCTGAATCCTTGAAACGTTTTGATTAAAATCCTGTGCTTGCAAGTTCATATTTCTTGCCATGTCACAAAAATTTATTCATTAACTTATTCCATTTCAAATGTTTGCCAATTGCTTGTCTGTTGAATTAAGCAGTTTATGAATGGGAGACACCCTTTTTCAGCTATATATGTGATAAAGGATTAATATCCAAAATATACAAAGAATTCAACAAAGACTCAAGAAAACCAACATCCCAACTAAAAAAACAAGGTATATTCAGTCAGGCATGGTAGCAAATATGTTTAATCCCAGCATTTGGCAGGCAGAGGCAGGCAGCTATACTGAGTTCAAGTCTCATCTACAACATGAGTTCCAGAACATCTGGGCTTCACAGAGAAATCTTGTCTTGAAAAACAGCAGAAAAGCTAATACAGTGTATTAAAATGGAAAAATGGCTAGGACATATCTTTAAAATGTGCTCAGAATCCTTAGCTGTTAGGGAAATGCAAATTAAACATCAGACCTAGGGCTTGGAGGGATTGAGCTGGAACTGACCTGAAAGCCTCTTCCCTGAGGACTCTCTTAGTATCTAAAGGTTCTGTATAAGCTGCTAAGGTTGAAAACTAATCAATAGATCCATCTGTAAAGCCTATGAATCACAACAATGACCAACACAGCAAGATATGCCCAAGCACATGATAGTGGCACTAATACATTTGTGGTAACCAATACCAAACTAGTTGAACTTAAATCCCACTCAATAGGTGGGAACTTATGTCTGCTAAACCAAGTTAAGAACTTGTAGTAGACTGGGTCACAGCAAGTAGAGGAAACCCTACTATTGCCACTACTGCCCTACTTCCTAACTACATTCTAAATACCTATACTTGTGCACATAGATAAGTGAATGTGTTACTCCTCCTCAATGAATCTCCTTTTTGTTGAGGATGGGGATCTTTACAGAAAGCCACAAGTGGTCAAAATTAAGAGAACAAGTAATGCTGGGTGCCCAACATCAATTGATACATCTGAAACACAATCCCTACACTCAAGGACATCTTATAAGATGGAATGCATGTTAAGAGCCAAAGGACCAGCAAGACTTCTGGAAAATTGTGTCTTCTATATACCGCAAAGAATCTGTATCCATGAAATCACAACACTATGTTACCTAAACTAGACCTGAAAAATTATACCAACTAACATGCCAATATATGTGGGGAATGAGGGGGAGAATCTCACAAGGCCTAGATGAAGAGCTACATGCATTTAATGACTTTTGGGAGAAGGATATTCAGTATTCTTCAGGGTCAAGCATCCTGATATATTATCCAATCTCAAGTGGTCAGTCCAAAAAACATATACAATGAAGCCATACCAAATGGAACCAGCAGGATATATATTAAAGAAGAGATCATGAACTTGAGATGGAGTTGGGCTAACATGAGAAGAGTTGGAAGCAGAAGAGGGAGTGGTAAGAATGATGTAAATACAATACTCATGTGATAGTCTAAGAAAAGTTAAAATTTCACTTGGAATTTTAAAAATGAGAAATGTTTTCCTTAACAATTCTCATGTAACTAGATTTTACACTGTTAAGGACCATTCACAAGTATCACTCAGTAGTATCAAGTGGTGTTGGAGCACTACAGTTTTCAAGTGAATAATCTATTACTAACATCAAACGGAACAGGTCATAGAACTTCCTAACTCGCCAGACAGAGCACACTGTTGAGTGGACTGGGAAGCCAGTGACATCTAGTGGCTGGGAATTGAACATTAA